TCTGGGTCCTAAAACTGTTAACATTCTACCATTAATTTAAAAAGCGACAGAGTCCTGTCGCTTTTTACAGATCCAGACTAACACGGCTACCCCTCTGATACTTGATACCATTAATCAGGGGCGGCTCTATGTATTTTGCCGCCCCAAGCACAGCAGTCAGGCAGCCTTTGGCGGCACGCCTGCGGGAGGTCCGCCGGTCCCGCGCCTTCGGCGTACCCGCCGCCGAAGCTGCGGGACTGGCAGACCTCCCGCAGGCGTGCCGCTGAAGGCAGCCTGACTGCCGCCCTCACGGCGACTGGCAGGCCACCCCCCGCAGCTTGCCGCCCCAGGCACGCACTTGGTGCGCTGGTGCCTGGAGCCGCCCCTGCCATTAATTTAACTCTAACTTCTATAGGCCAAATAAATTACCATCTGAAAATCCCTATACCCTGACATCAATTGCAACTCTGGACATATCCTGTCAAACATTATAGTTTTTGTAATCAATGGATGAGGACACCATCACTTCTGTTCCACATTCGTTATTATGCACAGAAAAACTACACATCAGCAGTGTAAATACCAATTTCTCTTTATAAAAAGAGAAGAGGACACTTACAGTAAGTAAATATTTATAACTAAACAAAGATATTGTGTCAGAAATATTATATTATATATATATATAAAAATAATCTGTACTCAAGCTGTATGTACTAGCAAAAAGCCTGAAAGAGTACTGAAAACTTTAAATGATCATTCTTAAAAGCTTAGGGCATGGAAGTAAGTGATATGGTTAGTGGGCAAAAGGCCAATTAATAAATCTGATTTCCCAACTGCATGTGGATAAAACAAATTAGGAGTGGTATCCCATGAAAGAGGGTGTAAGATTCCACTATTTCAGTGAATTAAAAATTTTACTTCAGATTTGTAATATGAAACTTGACAAGTACTTTAAATATTTGTGTGTGGCTGGTGAACTGATTGAATTGCCTAGATTGTGGCATAGGGTGCTGTGGGCAGGTACCTGTTTAAAAATATCCCCACTCAGCTCTGTCATTCCTGATTTGCTGCTTTACTGATTTACTCATATTTACCTAGGGCAGAGAATTGTAATTATGAACAAATATGGGGCTATTCTCTGGTGGGAGCCAAGATCCATTCTTGGCCATCAAAATTTATTACACCTTAGTTCCAAACCAAATTGTCATAACTATGAAGGGAAGGGTAACAGCTCTCTGTGTACAGAGAC